GGAAGTCTAGCTCTAAATTTAGAGTGTGTTACTTATTTTATCTAAAATAAGATAGTATGATTTTTACGATGGCCTCTTCCTTTTAAAGGATTGAATTTTAGGTAAAATAATTAGAAATAACATTTATTTATGAATTGTCTATATCACAAACATGTTATAAAATAGAGGATAGTATTCTGTAAAATGGGTTAGCATTTATCTTAAATAACTTTAAAAATTTTAAAATCACAAAAATATGTAAAATAGGCACTGATTTTAAATTAAAAACAATTTCCTTAAAAAAAATTAACTAAAAACATTATTAAAGCAACATGTATTCAAGATGAGTTCACAGACCAGAAACCGGGCTAACCTGCAGACCCCGCTAAATTTCAATGAATGACACCAGCTGACCTACTGACCTATCAACTAAGAATTGATTTGCCTAAAGATTTAAATTAAAGTAAAACAAACACCTACCTATAAGCCTTGGTACGAATTAATGTAAGATTCTGAAAATTAGCAAACTGCATCCTACTTCGAAATCAAGAGAAAACAGTCCAGAAATAATGAATTTCAGCATGAACGAAGGTATGAAAAAAAGCAAATATTCAACCTAATAAAACAAACACTTAAAGGAGTAGAATCCATAAAAAATTATTACTCAAATTAACAGGGACAATTCAAACAAGAAGGTTGGTTTGCTTCCAGAAATCTTAAAGATTAATAGTATAAGATGAAATATTTGAAGGAAATCTCAAATAAAATAAAAGATCCAAACTAAAACTATGAATAAGAATAAAATTTTGAACTTTAATTTGAAAATCTATGTTGAAGGCTAATTGATCTAACCTACAATTGAAATTGTAACGCTATAAGTGATTTATAAGAGGGGCAAGCCAAAAAAACCTAAATCTTCCTCCATTATTCTCTTTTACCTTGATGCTCAAACAAATTTTTATGATTTTTGATGCACTTCTCACTGCTTTCTGTACATATCTGGCTTTTTCTCCATCTGGTTCCAGCAGTTTTTTATTTTTACTGCAAGTCTGTCAGCTTGCAAACCGCAGTTTCTCCATGCCTTCTGCCTAAACCGCAGTTTGGACTGCAGACTGCAGCAACTCCAGTTCTAGATCAGCACCAAAAACTTGTTGACATGGCACAATTCAGACTAACAGCTAGGCCCTATTAGACACGTGGTTTCCATTCATTGATTTTTTTTTTTTTGTTTTAAGTGTAAACAACAATAATAATAATGCTGCAAAATTCCTCCCCTCCTCTTCCCTCTTCCCTCTTCCCTCTTCTCCAATTTTTATTATCTAAATAGGAAAATTTCTTCTATTCTCCAATCAATTCATAAATAAGGGGAAAGGGACGAGAAGAAATAGGCTTCCTTGCTTTAATATCTTTTATGGATTTTAGTACATCCAAAAATGTTTTGCTATATATTGCTTCTCCCTTCCTTTCTTTGCGAACCTAATCTGAAAAAAATTAGAACTTTTCAATTCATCCATCGTTTAAACTTCTCCTCATCAGTTTCAAGTTCAAATTTAAGCTCTTACCAATTGCACACTCCATAGTACATCTTTCTTGTTACAAATAAGATAGTCATGGTGTCCATAGGCATTAAGTCAAATAAGAACTAAGTTGAGTGACTCTGGTACACTTTGATTTTTTATTTTTAATTTTATTTTTTTTGGTTCCACATTCCACAATATTTTAGATTTTTTTTGTTTTAGTGTTTGGTAAGTTTTTATTGAGCAATTTTTAGAAAAGTTTTAGAGGAAATAATAATAATACAAAAGACACTTATTAATAATTTCATCATCTTCTTTATATATATACATACACAAAAAAATATTTTATAATTTGAATTATTGTGAACTATAACACATTGACCTTTTAATAGGTCAAGACTCTTTAATATTAGAGGTTTTTTTCCCATCAAAAGGTCCTTATTAATTTTACAGTTCCGAATAGCCCAAATTGTAAACTAGTGCACCTATATACATAGAGATCAATGTTTTTTACTTGGACCTACAAAAAATTTGGTGAACAAATATTTTAAAATTAAGTTGTTTTAATAAAATACCATAAGAAAAGACTAAAACATCTTCTTTTTTATTTTAAAAATAATTAAAATATTTTAATCTTTTTTAATTAATTTTTATTAAAACAACACAATTTTAAAATATTTTTTTACTTAATCTTTT